AGAGAGAGAGAGAGAGAGAGAGAGAGAGAGAGAGAGAGAGAGAGAGAGAGCTGAGCGATACAAGATTGGTTGTGTGGTCCAAGAGGAAGTGGCGGCCATAACCGCGGAGCTCGAACACGGAGTGACGAAGAAGGAAGGAGGAGACATAGCCGGGGGAGAAGAAAGGAGGGACAAAAAAGTTGAAGGCAGACAAAGCTGAGGGTGAAAAAAAAAAAAAAAGATAGAAGAAAGGCGAAGAAGGTGAAGAGAAGGGAAGTTTGGCGAGGAAGAAAGTGTCGGCACCCATATCCGACTTGAGGGTTGACCTCGGTGTTGACCAGGAGTTGACCGGGTGTTGACCGGAGGGTTGACCGGAGCGTTGACCAAGGTTCGACCGCATTGACCAAGCATTGACCAAGGCATAGACCGGAGCTGTCGACCACGACGTTGACCAAGCTGGAGTTGGTATAATCTGGCCAGGCCCTTAGCCTATCCCCTTGCCCTATGGATGTACACTCACCCTATGGTACTTGCTGAGTCTGAGTCTGTCTGTCTCTTCTTTCTGCATTGAGTCTCTTCTGTCCAGGTGATAGGACTCCGTGTATGAAGGATAGGGCCTCGTTGACCAAATCCACACGGGCTGAGTAGGGCTAAAGGCTTTGTCTGATGACTCGACTTTCCCGGAGGACACGAACCCTCCCAAGGACCGGTACTGACCGGCGGGCTGCTCAGTGTGGCACAATAGGCCCAAAATCCGAGTTGTCGGCTGCACAACGGGCCGTCTAAGTCTTGAGAGAACCTGCTGATCGCGTCGTCCTGTCTGCGACGTTAAAGAATTCCTGAGGAGTTACGGGGGATCTCCTTAAATGCCTCCTGATCAGCAATAGGTTTTGTAGTGACGACTGTAGTTTAAAGTTCAGGCTAGAGACCATAGCTGATAGGGTTCTATACGAATCCTGTGGTCCTTAGATTGAGTCGGTCTTAAGCTGAGTTAATTAGGGGAAGAGTCTAAGTGGTGAGGAGTGGAACCGTTACTTGGTTCTGCGTCTATCACCATGGTAGAGACGCGTACCGGAACGAGCACCTCCCCTTACACAGCAAAACAGGATGCGAAAGTCGCCGTTATCCTGAAGGAGAGAAGGGAGAAGAAGGAGGCCAAAAAGAAGGCCTTGCTGGAAGAATAGGCGGCGAAGAAGGAGAAGATTGAAGAAGAGATGGCGAAGGAACTAGAGAGGTTGACAAAGGAGGAGGAAGAAAAACTCAAAGCGGTAGAGGCAGAAGAAGAGGTAAAAGAACAGCCACTGGAGAGGAGAAGGACAAGAGGAAGAGAAGAACTTAGTGGTGTGAAGGAAGACCCGTTGGAGAAGAAGATTACGGAATGGGTGGCCAATTTATCCCTGGGAGAAGAGGAGGAGGCATTAATGTATGTAACCAGGGAAGAGCAGGAGGTGGCCATGAGAAAGTGGGATGCAGAGGAAGACCCACTCAAGCGGCAAACCATAGAGGATGAAAAGAGGATGGAGTGGAAGTTGCGACTGATGAGGGAAAGGAAAAAGAGAGTGGATGCAATGAGCCAGGAGGCAAGGGAATTGGAAGAAGTAAAGAAACAGGGAGAGCAGATGGCGGCGCAGGCGGACCTGTTGGGGAAGATGCAGATCATGGCGAGGAACATAGAGCGCCTGGCCCAGGTCCAGGAAGAGCAATATCAGTTTGGTAGGAGTTAGGACATAGCCCTGCGATCCGTACGACTGGGATTCAGAGACTTCGCACGTGAGTTAGTGATGCAGGTGGGCTCAGAGGTGAAGGCCCGCCTAGAGAACACAGAGCGTTATTGCACGGGTGCCATAGAGGGCGCCAGGTTGCTTGCACCCAAGGAAGAAGAAGCACGTCCTCATAGGGAGCCTGTTAAAGTGAAGTTCCCCGACTCCTATAGTGGAAAGGAGGAGAACTTCGACAATTGGGAAGCCAATATTAAAACGTATGTGCACTTGCAGAAAGTTGCCCCAGACGAACGCCTCCAGATAATTATCCATGCTCTTAGGGAGGAAGCATCAAGCTTCGCCCATTCCCGTTGTCGCACCGCCAATTGCAACGATGACTTAGTTGCGTATTCAACGTTTACCCCTCTCAGCGATTTCCTTAAGTTATTGAGAGAACGGTTTGCAAACGTTACCCGTAGTGTCGAAGCCTCAGATAAGCTACAAACCATCCATTCTCGCCAATGGAAGAGTGTCATGGTACTCAAAGGTGTGATGGACGAGTTAGTCGCCATTCCTGACCATGGGGTCACTGAGACCCAATTGGTCAACCTCTTCTATCGTGCCATGCCCGAACAGCTACGCGGGCATTTCTTTGAAAAACGTCAGCAGCCTACCATGACCTATGATGCTTTGAGCAGGCAAGTGGAAGCATTCGAGACACGGTCCATGTCAGTCTCCACTCTCTGCCACAAGGACCTGGGGCAAAAAGTGGAAAGGCCGTACCATCTCGGGTCAGGTCAAGACAAAGGATCGCCTGATGAGGACTTACACTAGATGAGGATGGTATGGATGAAGTCCCCTACGACCAGATAGAGTGGGGATTAGAAGAGAAAGGGGACAGTAGCGCGGGCCAGGGGAGGACTTACGCTGCCGTCGCGGGAAAAGAGGGAGGCCGCAAGGAGGAGGTAGAGGCCAGGGCCAAGGGGGTCGGGCCTCAAGTGGTCGTTTCCAGGGCGATCAGGGGGTTGGCGGTAGAGGAAACCGCTGAGCGGGAGGTAGAGGTCAAGGTCCCTCACAAAACCGATCTGGAAATAGGTCACCAAATAGGGGGAATAGGTCAGCCTATAGGAGAAGTGGTTGGCACCCAGGTCTGCCACAGGACTGACCTTGGGAAGATTTGGGCATGGACCAGCGTGTCTGGCAACAGCATGTGGACCAAGGGCAGTGCATATATTGCGGTGACCCTGGCCCCATCATCAAATATTGTCCAAAGTATAGAGAGGCCCGATCGGTTGCCCACGGGTCAAAAGGCAGTCGCCGGTAGGGGTTGCAACTGCCCCTACCATAAGGCCATGGGGAAACGAGCGTGGGCCGCCAGGAAACTCCCACACCACATGCGCCTATGGCAGAGGTTGTAGGCCGGTGCCTAGACAACTGTCCAGAGACTGCGTATGTCCGAGTCTCTTTAGGCACCTCCCTCACAGGCGTGGTCGATGAGCTAAAAGAGAGAATGTCCGCCTGGGCCAAGATGAAGAAAGAGAGTAGGGGACAACTAGTACTAGTAGACGTAAAAGTCTTTAGGAGCAGAGTAGGGGCCCTCGTAGATAGTGGGGCCACTCGCAGCTATATTAGTAGAAAGGCGCTGCAAAAGTTAAAGTTGGGATTGAAAGTTCAAAAGTTAGCAGACCCCATAGTAAGTATCTTCGCAGATAATCGCACGATGCGAGTAGCGGAGTACGTAGAGGAAGTCCAAGCGTACTTCCGCCTAGAGAAAGATGGGAAGGTGGAGAAAGTTTACCATTCCCTAACTCTCCTCGTAGAGGACAACCTCCCATTTGACATAGTCCTAGGAATAAACTAGGGAGCAGCAGGGACCACACTTTTTCTGAGAGAGCATGAGTGTAGGCTTCCTAATCCATCAGGCGAGGTGAAGACTACTCGTCTGTTTCATGTGTCAGGAGTAAACAACTCCTTAGCACATTGATGTCTTGGCGCTCCTGCATTTGTGAGGCTAGTGAAGAAGGAGCAGCTAGAAGAACAGGTTTTTGTAGCCTACGTTAGACCAGTTACTGAGCCTAAAGAGGAAAAGCCCATAGATCCCGCTATTGCCAAACTGCTGGAAGAGTACACACATTTAGCTAAGCAGCCAACAGGGGTAGTCCCGCGGCCCATCCAGCATCGCATTGAGATAGAGTCTGGCAGTAGGACTCCTAAAGGAGCAGTGTATCGGATGTCCCCGCGAGAGTTGGAGGAGCTGCGCAAGCAGTTAGATGAACTCTTAGAGAAGGGTTGGATTAGGCTCAGTTCGTCTCCATTTGAAGCACCTGTTCTATTTGTCCCCAAGAAGGAGGGAGAGCTTAGAATGTGCATTGACTATAGGGGTCTTAATGCCATTAAAGTGAAGAATGCGGAGCCACTGCCCCGTATAGTTGACCTCTTAGATCGGGTGCAGGGTTGCAAATACTTCTCGAAGAAGGATTTGAAGTCCGGTGTCGGGACCGGTGGGTCCCGAATAACATCCCGTCACTCGAGAGCCTGTATATAGCCAAATTGTGCACGACAGAGAAATCCAGAGTAAGGACGGCAAGCAAGTAAGCGTGAGGACATGGGCGCATAGAACATAGCATGAGGCCAGGAGGGTCGTTGGAATTCAGCAAGACTGAGGCCAAGGGGCCATTGACCCTGCAAACACGACACGGCAACGACAAAAGAATAAGGGAGCCAAGAGGTGGACGGCCCCGGTGGCCGTGGGGCGCGAGAAAATAAGGGTCCAACATGGAGGCCGCCTACGACAATTAACGAGAGCCTCATATTGGAGGCCCACGGCCGGAGAAACCAGCGCACGCAAGGCCTAAGAGAAAGCAAGGAAAAAGGGCCCACCATAGGGCGGTAGACACCCAAAGAACATGGGACACCTTGAGGAAAGGTACCAAGGACCACATGGGACTAAGTAAAAATAATGATAGCCGAGAACCACCGGTGGGACTAAGTGTCGGGGACCACCGGCGGGACTAAGTGTTGGGGACCACCGATGGGACTAAGTGTCGAGGACCACCGACGAGACTAAGTGTCGGGGACCACCGATGGGACAAGTGGCAAGGACATGAGAAGGTCCCAAGAGAAACGGCGAAGCAGCATGAGGTGAAAACAATTAAGACAAGATGCACCGTCAAGATCAAGATCTTGACGGCCAAAAATATTAGCACTGCTAATGCAAGCACTAGCGGTTGCAAACGGTAAAGCCAAAAGGAAAAGTAAAAGCAAGGAAACATGAAGTGGGAGGCATGGGAGCAATCCGAAAAATCTCGGATCAGCCTCCCTCAAGAAAATTGAGTCAAAAAAAACTCCATGTGAAAAATAGGGCCCCGGGAGAAAATCGGAGTTGGCGGGGCTACTGTTGGAGAGAAATAAAGAAAAAAGGAAACTCCCATAGACATGAGGGAGTCATTCTTGCAGTCCGAGATATAACGGACTGCACCATGGGGATAGGGAGGGCCAAAACTAAGAGGGAGGGCCAAAACTAAGAGGGAGGGCCAAAACTAAGAGGAAGGGCCTAGAAAAGGGCCTTAACGACCACTTGACACTTGGCATGCTAGAAAAAGAAAGAAAAGAAAAGAAAAATGTGGTAGAATAAGACAAAAAAAGTGAGAGGGAGTGAGTGAGTTGACCATCAGTAGGGACTGCCACCATTAGGGACTGGCATGTCCCTGCTGTCCAAGAAAGGAGGAAAAGGAAAAGAAAAGAAAAGAGAAAAGAAAAGAAAAAAAGGAAAAAACCTTAACGGTAAAAAACGACCACTTGGGGAGATGCATCCGTGACCAGATACATTCTAGAATATTGCGGTTGCAAAGGACCTTGATTTTCTCTTGATTTTGCAGATAAAATCAAGAAAATTCAAGGCCCCATGCAACCGAAATACAACGGATTACATGGGGGAGGAGAAACACATGTTTTAGATGCATCCGGTGCCAAAATTGAGCCCGGATGCACTTGGAAGTTGACCGTTTCTTTTTCTTTCAGTTGAGGGTTAGTTGTGGGGCATTGGGGCTAGGAAATTGACCCCTATTGCAGTCCGAGTTGCAACGGACTGCATAGGGAAGGGAAAACACATGTTTTAGGTGCATCCAGAGCCAATATTGAGCCCGGATACACTTGAGAATTGAGCGTTCATTTTCTTTCAATGTGGGGGAAGTTGTGGGGCTATGGGACTAGGAAAAAGACCATAATTGCAGTTCGAGAAATATCGGATTGCATAAGGATGCCTAGGCTAAAAGAAAATAAGCCATGACAAGCCCAAAGGGCTAGAAAAGAATGATTTCAGCATGGGGCAAGTAAAAACGGTAAACGGCAACCGTGAGATGAGCTCTCGCGGCCAAGAATAATCGGCACACATGTGGAACCTAAGGAAGGGATATTGGAACCACCAAGGGCAAGGAGGTCCCAAAATAAAGATGGGACATCATCCGAGACGTTGCCGGGGACTAAGTAGGCCCAAATAATAATAGTCGAAACACGGGACACACGCCGGCGGGACTACCGACGGGACAAAAAAAATGGAACTAGTACGGGGAAAGCGGCCGGGACTTGAGTTGTCCCAAGGTAACCATGAGTCAACATAAGGAATGGACACGCAAGCAAGCGGCACCATCGAGATTAAGATCTAAACGGTGGAAAATATTAGCACCACTTGCACTAGTGGGATCAAATGGGAGAGTCATGAGAGAAAAAGAAAACAAAATAATGGTGTTGGGAGGGCAGCCCAGTAGTCCGAGATATCTCGGACTAGTTAGGCATGGGAAAATAGAGCCCCAAGGGGCCCAATGCAGAAAAAAGGTTGCCCAAAGAAAATCGGAGCAAAGGGGGCTCAAAATTGAAACTAACGGAGACAAAATAAAGTCCCCTAGGAGCATGGGGGTGCCATTATTGTAATCCGAGATATAACGGTCAACTGCTGAGTCTGAATCTGGCCATGGATGAGAATCTATGGCCTAGAAAGAGACTCAACAGCTATTTGACACTTGTCACATCAAAAATAAAAGAATAGAAAAGAAAAAGAGGGAGAAAATGGAGGGAGAATGAGACCAAAGGGGAGAAAGGGGTGGAGGAGAATGTGCCGGCCTATTGGGATGTGCACAGTAGGGACTGGTAGGTCCCTACTGTGACCTCATCCCTCCTAGAATGGAGGAGGGCAATCCGGGATTGCAGAGGTATGGCCCTTGGGGCCATATCTCCACAAAATCTGAATTAAAAAGAGAAAAATAAGAGAAAATGCAAAATGGGGGTAACCGCTTTTTTGTGGGCCATAGATCTAAGATCAGATCTCATGGTGGAGAGGAACTAGCCGTTTTTTGTGAGCCAGCTCAAAACGGTTAGCTCCGGAATGAGTTGGCAGCCCAAAATGGAAAGAAACAAAAAAGGG